CAAATCTCAACGAGCTCAAACCCAACCCCCGGATATGCATGGTACCCACCTACGGGCCCGCCAAATTTCTTTTCGGGTAAGTCCCTAACTCGGGAATTTGAAAAGCTAGAAGAATATAATTTTAAGAGCATATCCCCCGTCCACCTAAGTCTTACTGAGCCCAAATCCAGCCCTCGGGTATGCGTGATGACCACGTACGGGGGCGTGAAAGTTTTTTTCAGGTAAGTTGATAACTCGGAACCTGAGAAGCTAAAAGACTGAAATTTTGAAAGGATGTTTCCTTTCAAGTCCTGGCGGCCAGTCTGAAATTCCTTTAGCTAGAAGCATCTGCCGGAAAAAATAGTGCCGTTAGCGACAAAAATCTGCGAATAACTATGCAAAAAACGCATCTCCGTACGGGCAGCCCGTGTGTTGGCCAATTATTTCTTCCTCCTCTCCTCTCCCTCAATCGTTTACGTGTTTAGCAACCATCCTGTCTTCGCCGTGGTTCTTCCTAAATTTTACTCCCTTAGTGGGTAAATTTCTTGAGTTTTGCAGGCTGTTAATTAAACATGATAACTAAACGGTGGCACGGATCCGGCTCAACAACGATTCGCGAACAACGTTGTATAAATTTCGTTGTCGTTCCCCTTCCCAGTCCATGCTTCTTCGGCTGTCACTTTTTGCCAAGGAGCATGCGCTCAGACGCGTCGATTTCACTTCACGTAATAGCTTGGTAAATAAAAAGCATCGCTTTTTTGTCCTGATTTGTGACGGGTCTTGAAATCTGCCTTTTCTGAAAAAAAAAAGTTTAGAAAAATCCGCAGTTTCACCTAAATTTCCTAAAGATCGAAGCAAGAAAACCCCCAACATAGTTTGTTCGAAAGATATTTAAATGAGTTGATTTTGCGAATTGTACAATTTTAGGATCCGACGCTTTGACAGCTGACTTCATTTGCGTAAACTCTCAATATTCAAATTCGCAGCTTCGCTCATTTTCGAACTAGTGAAAGTAGCTCGGGTTCTGATCTAATGTTACAACTCGAGGTACAGTCAAGCTGAAAGATGATTTGAGGATTAAAGCCTGATACATTATCGGAAATATATAACTTCTTAGTTCTCGAAGTTTCTGGGCCATGCAAATAGATACATACACACA